GAGGTCTTGAACTAATGTAATATTACACTTTTGTGAGGTGAAAAAATATTTTTGACATAATGACACACTGCCTACTTTGTTGATGGTAACTAATTTCACTTTTTGTTTTCAGCATTATGATCAGTAATAACGTATACAGTGGAATCCTGATAAAGGCAACTTGCTTTAAGTCAACTCTTGCTTTCAGTCAACACCTCATTGTGGTCCCGTTTTTTATCTTCTTTGTTGAAGTAATTTTAAGTAGATCTAATTGTGTTTTTGATACTGTCAACCGCTTGAGTGTTATGTTTGCGTAAAGTCAACAATTTGGGGCTAAATCCCAAGATGAATTCTTTTAAGAAGAGATATTTAGGTCCTTAGATAGTGGTGCACACACATCCAATTACTTTGTTCACTCATTATCTTTTGTTTTGGTGACAACTTCTGAATTATACTCACTGAAACTGAGATTACATCTTGTTTATTACCAGTCACCTTGTAATTTTGTAGCTGTCATCTTCAATTTTCAATGGCCAGTAGTACAATGGATAAAGTCAATCTTGCTCAAAGCCAACACTTTTTTTTCTGTCCGGGGTGTTGACTTTATCCGAATTCCACTGTAACTTATTTTATTTGTAATTAAGGCGCTTTTGTCATTGACATGAGTCTCAATTTTTTCCTTATTAGTAAGAAAGAGTGTATGCAATATTTTGCTTGAATGATTTACTCTATGTGAGGCAGCGTGGTGAAATTAGGCGCTCGTCAAAATAATCAAAATCAAAGTGAAAAAACTGGCATTTCCCCGCAGGTTTGGGAACTTTTATTGAATTTTTATTTTTCCGCTAAACACCTTTTATGTCCATAAAATAACACATTTCCATGCGAATTTTACTTAAAAACGTTAATTACATGTACAAAATATGTGATTTTTCAGTTTTAAAGGCTTCAAGCTATCGAAGTTATCAGACTTTGGCGGCCGTTTTCTCACTAAATTATCCTCTGAAATCAAGTGACCCACACCTCCTTCAATCGCAAATATTTCGACTTCTATTATTAATAATAATTAATAATAATAGATAGCATTTGTATAGCGCAAATCCCCGCTCAACAGCAAGCTCTATGCGCTTCAC